TCCAGCCCGTTTTTTTATTATTTATTTATTTGTTAATTTTATATTATTTAAATTTAGTATTTCTTATTTATTTAGTATTATTTGTCTTTATCGTCTTTTTTTTCTTCTTCTTCTTTTTTCATATTTATTTATTTTATATTTTTTAAAATTTGACAATGATATTAAGATTTGTGAACGTACATGAAACATTTTTTTACATAATAAAAATATTAATGAATCAAATAATATTTTATGTGAATTAAGTCTCTCCTCCGCGTGAATGCCCTATAACTATTAATAAAAAAAATAAAAATAAAAACTGGATGATAAATATTTAAAATCATTACACAAGAAGCCTTACTAGTTTATTAATATACTAGTAAATAGAAGGATAAACAAACAAAAAAGTATATAAGAGTGCATAATACCAAAAAACCTGCGGGCGGGCCGATTTGGCCCGCGGGCTAATGAGGGCGGGCCACGGGCCATGGATTTCCCAGCCCGTAGAAATGCGGGCCATTTTGGCCCATCCCGTTTGAACCGCGGGCCAGCGCGGGCTGGAGCAGGCCGGACCGGACCGACACATTTGATACTGCTACCCGCGGGTAATCCGACCCTACGGGTTTTATTTACATCCCTACGTCTTGTTCATATCCGAGTTATTCATCTTCTTACGGATGCTCTACTTCCCATGGGTATGGCCCAAGGCACTCTTACCCGATATCTCGAGTCGATTATGTTTATGGCATTCCAGATCACGACGAGCCGTCTTATTCCAATCCTCCACCTCCGGACTATTACTATCTACCGCCTTCCGATTATGAAGGAACACCTCCACCCGAGCCACCTCGAGAAGCTTCTCGAGTCAATCTACACGAGATTATGGAGCATTAGAGGAGTGCAATCGATCCCTTCGTGCTTCAATAGCCCCCATATCCAAGAAAGAAGAAACCGAGTCCCATGTTCCATCCTCTCCATCATTTGAGCACCAATCGTGGCCAACCTTGTACATCGAGCGCCGAAGCTTCATTTCCATCAACGGTTGTGCCTTTCGAACGTCACCGAGAGGTTTTAGCGAGCACTCAAGAGAAGCTTACGAGCCTCATGTCGATCATTGAGGAGTTTCATAGTTGGAAGAGCATTCCCATTCCATCCGTTCTTCAAGTCACACTCACAAAGTTCGACTTTATCGTGGTCTTTTTTCTTGATTTGGACGCATCTCACATTCCGTTCGGTAGATATTGTTCTCTATCGGCGAGGGTTATTCGAGAGAGCACCCAGTTAGAAGGCGAGTATCGAGCTATGGTGGATAGGTTTGCCTCCTTGAAGAGATGGGCTGGACTCTCGTTTATGACGGTACGCAATCTCTCGACACGAGTGAGGACATCGACGATTTGGTTGTTAAAGAAATTTCCTCTCTTGACGATTCGGCCATGCGTTCTACATTAGGTACGTCAAACTTCTCTCCCGGTGATTGTTCTTTGAGTTTGAATCCTATTGTTGAGAGTGAGCATGTGGAATCGGGTGTGGATATGGTGTACGATATGGGAAAAAATTCATTTGTGGAGTTAGTTGTGCCTATTCATGAGTTGGATGAGTCGTATGGTTTTGAAAGTGCTCGGGAGGATGTTATTGAGGAGGAGTGTGCAGTAAATCATGATGTTGTGGATGTAGTTGAGGAGAATTTTGAGACCTTATGTGATGTCGTGGACCCGAGGAGTGCGTTCATTGAGGATTCGGCTCGTGATGTTGAGTATGACGTGGTTCTCTCCTTTGGGTCATCATTTCGTATTATTGAGGATCGTGACCATTTGGAGGAGTTTAATGTACCTACGCCTGTGCTCCCGATGTTTGAGCTTGATGAGTACACGTTCGAGATAGTGCAAACGATGCCCGAGATTGATTCGACATGCTCCACGAATATTTTTGTAAAGATTCATCTCTTTCTTGGTGGTTGTTGATATCCGTGCTCGGTTTCACAAGAATTCTACCATGAGAATGTATTTGGCCCGCCTTTGTTCCGTTTTACCGGCTCGTCTACTCTTGAAAATTACAAAGGCGTGGCATGATCGACATTTTTTCTTAGACCCCAGTTGATTTTCGTTGGGGTCGTCGAGCTCAACACGTCAAAATGAGCGCTTCCTGGGAGGCAACCTACGATTCTCTCTTTTTCTAGGATTTTCCTTTCTATCTTCAATAAATAGCCTCGCAAGCCACACGACACAGGTATTTTTGGAGAAGGAAACGGGACTCGGAGCCGAGAGTTTGTGGAAA